CATTGTTGTTTGGCGGGCCTGGGCTGGATTTGAACTCACCATCTTAGGTGTATGTGACTGGTGCCTTAGCCACTTGAGTCTCAGGCACCAAGCCTGTATTTGTTTTGAGACAGAGTCTCTACTCTGTCGTCCTGACTAAAGTGCTATGGCATCACAGCTCACAGCAACCTCAAACTCCTGGGCTCAAATGATCCCCCTGCTTCAGCCTCCCTAGTAGCTGGGACTAAAGGTGCCTAGCACAATGCCAAGCTAATCTTTCCTTCCTTTCCTTCTCTTTCTTTCCTTCTTTCTCTCTCTCTCTCTCTTTTTTTTTTTTTTTTTTTTGACAGAGTTTCACTTTGTCACCCTCAGTAGAGTGATGTTGCATTATAGCTCATAGCAACCTCAGACTCTTGGGCTGAACAATTCTCTTGCCTCAGTCTCCAAGTAGCTATGACTACAAGTGCCCACCATAACACCTGGCTATTTTTAGGGGTCTTGTTTTTGCTCAGGCCAGTCTCAAACCTGTGAGCTCAGGTAATCCATCTGCCTCAGCCTCCCAGAGTGCTAGGATTACAGGCATGAGCCACCATGCCTGGCTTGGCTAATTTTTCGATATTTAGTAGAGATGGGGTCTCACTCTTGCTCAGGCTGGTCTCGAACGCCTAAGCTCCGTAGATCATCCAATCTTGGCCTCCTAGAGTTTTAGGACTGTGCCCATTTTTTAATGCCAGTTTTACCTCACTGGTCCTCCTCTCTTGGTTCTTATGTAGCTTTTATGTCAGCTCCTCTACCCCTGAAGGTCTTTTGTGCAGGTCTCTGGTATCTGCCTAGCTTCTTTGAATTCCATGTTTCTACTTCTCCTTTCTGGTAGGTGGAAACATGGTAGTATTTGACTCCTGACCTACCAGCTATCCTACTTTAGCCCACCTTCTGCTTGGAATTTCAGACTCCAGAGAAACCCTGACTAGGAGGAACCCTGGGTGTTGCTGTGGCCAGGTTGGAGAAAGCTTTTATTTATTTATTTATTTATTTATTTTTGAGACAGAGCTTCAAGCTGTCCCCCTGGGTAGAGTGCTGTGACATCACTTAGGATGTCACAGCATTCATACAACCTCCAACCAGGCTCAGGCAAGTCTCCTGCCTCTGCCTCCCAAGTAGCTGAGACCACAGGTGCCCGCCACAACGCTTGGCTATTTTTTGGTTGTAGCCATCATTGTTGTTTGGCAGGCCGGGGCTGGATTCGAACTCACCACCTTAGATGTATGTGGCTGGTGCCTTAGCCACTTGAGCCACAGGCGCTGAGCCTGAGAAAGCTTTCAGTGGTTTGAATTTGGGAGCCCTTGGGTCAAATGGACTTCAGAGAGAGATAACTGGGCAGTAGAAGCAGCAAATTTCCACTTGGGGGCAGGGCAGGAGTGATGACTGGACATATTGCCTGTAGCAACCTTAAAACCCCAAACCCACACACCACACATGCTAGGAGCTACCAAGAGGTCTGAGATCCTGGGTTCTTGGGTTTCTTTCTCAGCTAAGCTCCTAAGGGGTACAGATCTTGAGGGTGGTTTAGCCTGGTGGCAGCAGCAACCTCAAACTCATGGGCTCAAATGATCTTCCTGCCTCAGCCTCCCAGGGAGCTGGGCCTACAGGTGCATTAAGGTGGGTATTATTAAGGAGGCACCTTTGAGGCCTGGTGCAGTGTCTCATGCCTGTAATCTAGTTGGAGCTCAGTAGTTCCAGATCAGCCTGAGCAAGACCCTGTCTCTAAAACTAGCCAAGCATTCTGGCAGGTGCCTGTAGTCCCAGCTATTCAGGAGGCTGAGGCAAGAGAATGGCTTGAGCCCAAGAGTTTTTATTACAGGTTTTTTTTTTTTTTTGCCTGGGGCTGAGTTGGAACCCACCACCTCTAGTGTATGGGGCCGGTGCCCTACTCCTTGAGCCACAGGCGCTGCCTGAACCCAAGAGTTTGAGGTTGCTGTGAGCTATGATAGCACAGCACTCTACTGAGGGCGACATAGTGAGACGCTGTCTCAAAAAATGGGTGGGCGGGCTCAGCGCCAGCCAAGTACACCTAAGGTGGTGGGTTTGAATCCAGCCCAGGCCCGCCAAACAACAATGACGGCTGCAACCAAAAAATAGCCTGGTGTTGTGGTGGGCGCCTGTGGTCCCAGCTACTTGGGAGGCTGAGGCAGGAGACTCACTGGAGCCCAGGAGTTGGAGGTTGCTGTGAGCTGTAATGTCACGGCACTCTACCCAGGGGGACAGCTTGAGGCTCTGTCTCAAAAAAAAAAAAAAAAATGGGGGGGCACCTTTACATTTCTAAAAGACCTCCATCATGCTCTATATGTGTATATCTGTATGTCTTCTTTCATTCACTGTGCTAGAAGGATAAAGAGGCTGGGTGCGGTGGCTCACTTGTAATCCTAGCACTCTGGGTGGCTGAGGTGGGTGGAATGCTTGACCTGAGGAGTTCAAAACAATCTTGAGCAAGAGTGAGACCCTGGGGGTGGCACCTGTGGCTCAAAGGAGTAGGGCGCTGGCCCCATATGCTGGAGGTACCGGGTTCAAACCCAGCCCCGGCCAAAAACCGCAAAAAAAAAAAAAAAAAGAGTGAGACCCTGTTTCTATTGAAAATAGAAAAACTTGGGTGGTGCCTGTGGCTCAGTGAGTAGGGTGTCAGCCCCATATACCAAGAGTGGTGAGTTCAAACCCAGCCCTGGCCAAATTGCAACAACAAAAAATAAAAATAAATAAAAAAAGAAAAAAAAATAGAAAAACTTGAGTCAGTGCCTGTACCTCAGCAGCTAGGGTGTCAGCCATATACACTGGAGCTGGTGGGTTCGAACCCAGCCTGGGCCTGCCAAACAAAAAAATAGCTGGTCCAGCTTAGCACCTGTGGCTCAAGCAGCTAAGGTGCCAGCCACATACACCTGAACTGGCAGGTTCGAATCCAGCCCAGGCCCTCCAAACAATGATGGCTGCAACCAAAAAATAGCCAGGCATTGTGGCAGGTGCCTGTAGTCCCAGCTACTTGGGAGTTAGAATCACTCGAGCCCAGGAGTTGGAGAATGCTGTGAGCTATGATGCCACAGCACTCTACCCAAGGCGACAGCTTGAGGCTCTGTCTCAAAAAAAAAAAAAATAGTGGGGTATTGTGGGCGCCTGTAGTCCCAATTACTTGGGAGGCTGAGGCAAGAGAATTGCTTAAGCCCAAGAGTTTGAAGTTGCTGTGAGCTGTGATGCCCTAGCACTCTACTGAGTGCAAAAAAGTGAGACTCTGTCTCAAAAAAAAAAGAAAATAGAAAAACTAGCAGGGGTGTGAGGGCTGGGTACAGTGGCTCATGCCTGTAACCCTAGCTCTTTGGGAGGCCGAGGAGGGTGGTTTGCCTGAGCTCACACATTTGAGACCAGCCAGGAGCCAGAGCAAGATCTTGTCTCTAAAAATAGCTGGGCATTGTGGCGGGTGCCTATAGTCCCAGCTACTTGGGAGGCTGAGGCAAGAGAATTGCTTGAGCCCAAGAGTTTGGGGTTGCTGTGAGCTATGATGCCCAGCACTCTACCAAGGGCGACAAAGTGAGACTCTGTCTCCAAAAAACCCCCAAGACAAAAAATGAAAATCTTGGGCGGCCCCTGTGGTTCAAAGGAGTAAGGCGCCGGCCCCATATGCCATTTGCTGTGGGTTCAAACCCAGCCCTGGCCAAAAAAAAAAAAATCTGCCAAAAAACCCATATGCCAGAGGCTGTGGGTTCAAACCCAGCCTTGGCCAAAAAGAAAAAAAAATCTGCAAAAAAACAAAAAATGGAAAACTAGCCGGGTGTAACTATTCCCAGTTACTTGGGAGGCTAAGGCAAGAGGATGGTCTGAGCCCAGGAGTTTGAGGCTGCTGTGAGCTGTAATGCCACAGCACTCTACCCAGTGCAACAGAGTAAGACTGTCTCAAAAAAAAAAGGGGGGGGATGAAAAAAGACCAACTATATGCTGGGGATACTGAGGCATGGAGGGGTGTGGCTGTGAGCCAGTATGTTAGCCACTCTAATTCCCTTCCTTGGGTGGAAATGAAGACTTTGGGCTCTTCCAGCCCTCCCAAAGCACCACAAAGCAGGGGGTGTCCACTGCCCGCTTGAAAGACATTCTTGCCTCAGCCACAGTCCTGGCTTGGCAGCAGCCCTGTTCCCTTTCAATGTCTCAGTGTCTCCACGTCGCTTCCTCTTGCTCCCCAGCCCCAGAGTCCCTGCCAAGAGATTCCTCACCAGAGACATGAGGACTTGACCTCAGGGAGACCAGGGTACTGCCTTAGTCAGGAGCTAAAGCTGAGACAGGAAGCAGAATAAGGGGTAAAGCCAGGAAAATCGGGAATGGGGGCAAGTACTGTCCCTAGTCCTTTGCTTTCTCCCTGTGCCACTCTTTGAGCCTCACATTTTTTCTCCAAGTCCCTGATCATGACTTCTGTCTGCTACTAACCCACTTGCAGGGGTCAGGATCCCTAATTCTCACTCCTCTCTGCTGCTGCCTCTATCCCTAACTCTTCAACCATTTAAAAAGAGCCTCATATTTCTTGGAGGCCCTTTGCACACCCTGAGAACTCCACAGTGAGCTCTACTTCTTGTCTCTGGGTTGGAGTATTGGAGTCCTGGGCCTCTGCTTTCCTTCCTTGATTCCACCAAGCTCTGCCCTGAAGCCCAGTCCCCACTGACCCACCTCTTTTACCTCTAATTCCCCATCCTCTTCACTTCCCTGACCATTTTGCTCCGTTCTCGATGTTTCTAGGTCTCAGTCCTAGTGTTTTCCTCTTCATTATGCACCTCTCCTCCTCTCTCCCTAAGCCGTTCCTCCCTCTCTCCACAGGAGGAAGTCCACTATGGCTCCAGTCCCCTGGCCATGCTGACGGCAGCGTGTAGCAAATTTGGTGGCTCCAGCCCTCTGCGGGACTCAACAACATTGGGCAAAGCAGGCACAAAGAAGCCATATTCCGTGGGCAGTGATCTTTCAACCCCCAAAACCATGGGGGATGCCTACCCAGCCCCCTTTTCAAGCACCAATGGCCTTCTCTCACCTGCAGGCAGTCCTCCAGCACCCACATCAGGCTATGCCAATGACTATCCTCCTTTTTCCCACTCATTCCCTGGACCCACGGGTACCCAGGACCCTGGGCTACTTGTCCCCAAGGGGCACAGCTCTTCTGACTGCCTGCCCAGTGTATACACTTCTCTGGACATGGCACACCCCTACGGCTCCTGGTATAAGGCGGGGATCCATGCAGGCATTTCACCAGGTCCAGGCAATGCTCCAACTCCATGGTGGGACATGCACCCTGGAGGCAACTGGCTAGGTGGTGGGCAGGGCCAGGGTGATGGGCTGCAAGGGACACTGTCCACAGGCCCCACTCAGCCTCCACTGAACCCCCAGCTGCCCACCTACCCATCTGACTTTACTCCCCTTAATCCAGCCCCCTACCCAGCTCCCCACCTTCTGCAAGCAGGGCCCCAGCATGTCCTGCCCCAGGATGTCTATAAACCCAAGGCAGTGGGCAATAGTGGGCAGCTGGAGGGTAGTGGTGGAGCCAAACCCCCACGTGGCACGGGCACTGGGGGCAGTGGTGGATATGGGGGCAGTGGTGCAGGGCGTTCTTCCTGTGACTGCCCCAATTGCCAGGAGCTAGAGCGACTGGGGGCAGCAGCTGCTGGGCTGCGAAAGAAGCCCATCCACAGCTGCCACATCCCTGGTTGCGGCAAGGTCTACGGCAAGGCCTCACACCTGAAGGCCCACTTGCGCTGGCACACGGGTGAGAGGCCCTTCGTCTGCAACTGGCTCTTCTGTGGCAAGAGGTTCACCCGTTCAGATGAGCTGGAGCGTCACGTGCGTACGCACACCCGGGAGAAGAAGTTCACCTGCCTGCTTTGCTCCAAGCGCTTTACCCGAAGTGACCACTTGAGCAAACACCAGCGCACCCACGGCGAACCAGGCCCAGGCCCTCCTTCCAGTGGCCCCAAGGAGCTGGGGGAGGGCCGAAGTCCAGGGGAAGAGGAGGCTGCTCAGACTCCTCGCCCTTCTGCCTCGCCAGCACCCCCAGAAAAAGCCTCTGGAGGCAGCCCTGAGCAGAGCAACCTGCTGGAGATCTGAGCTGGGTGGAGGGTCTCCATTCCCAGGGCTGGCTTGCTAGCCTTTCTTGGCTCTGTGGACCAATGCTTACCCCTCATTCCCTCTACCCCATGCATGCTGTCCTTTGGGGCTCTCTTCATCTCTCCTCTGGGTATTCTGGGTCTGGGTATCTCTTTGTATGCCTCCTCAGCTCACCTCTTCTCTTGCCATGAGCCTGGCTTTCTGCAAAATGTCATCTCAAGCCCTCACCTTTTCCTGACTCTGGTTTCCTAAGCTCTTCCCTGGCCCCTTCACAGCTTTTCTCTGCCTGGCTTTTGCCGCATCAATTTGTCTTCCTTCCATTTGGGCTCCCAGCATTATTTCTATATTTCACTAATTCCTTGTCATGTGCCCTTTCTCCTTCCCACGATTATTTACTGCTATCCCTCAGGCTCCTGTCTTCCCAACTTCTTTTCACTGCTTTTCATTCCCCAGAACTTTTTTCTTTTACGCAAACACAATGATGATGATGATGATGATGATAATTTATTGCCCCCTGGTGGCCTCTTCATTAGGGACCAGAGTTAGGGGGAATTGGGGTTAATGACCTGGCCAAGAGCAGGGTGCCAAGAGCAGGGCAGACCAGTGGGGATCTGATCCCAAAGATGGGGTGAGCCCAGGGTCAGGGAGGCTGCCCCCAGGCCTCTATATTTAACCTCTATGTACCAGAAGTAATGAATAGTAATAATAATTCTATTTATCTAAGTTATGATGACGGGTCAGTTAAAGCAAGCTGGGGAGGGAAGGGGATCCATTTCTGCTAAAGAAATTCTAGCCAAATGCATCTCTGTATAGACAAAATATTAGTGGAGATCTTGTTAATAGAATTTCTATTATCAGGTCTCAGTTAACAGTGTTTCTCTTTTAATGGAGTTTCTAAAAATTGGCTTAGTTAGCTAGGTCTCTGTTAAAAGTTAATGGAGCATCTCTCAATTAGGAGATCCCTGATATCCCCAGCCCAAGCCAGAAGCTGTGAAACCTCAAGTCCCTATGGAGAGGAGAAGGACTGGAATGTACACCAGCTCCCTGGGCCCCAGAGCAGGTACTTCCACTGCCCTTTCCCTCAGACACCATGACCCCATCAGGCTAATCTCCTATTGCCATGATTATGGAGAGCTTACAGATGCCATCTTAGACAAGCTCTTTGTGGGCTTCCATCTAACAGGAGGATACTGGTTTGGAGGTGCCCCTCTGGAAGAATGAGTGAGGAAGGCTTTCTCTGGGATCAGATTAAAACAAATCAAGTATTTATTGAGTGCCTACTCTGTGCAAGGCACTGTACTCAGCCTGATGCTTAGAAGCCATGAGAAAGAAGAATTTAGAGCCCAGAGGACACCTCAAGGTGGTTTGGAGGTGTACCCATAGGGCCCCAACTTGGTACTTGTGACGCTCCCAGCTCCACCTCTAGGGACTTTTAAAGCCGCTTTGTGCCTTTGAATGCCTTTCCTGTGACTTTGGATCCTTCTTTTCTGTCCCCTGCTCCCTCAAGGTCCCAAGTTAAAGGGTTAAAGCCGCTGGAGCTTGGGGAGAGAGCAACGTTGTGGAAGGGAAGGGATCGAGCCCTTGTGGAGTCTTTTTTTTTTTTAATTTAATAAATAAAAGTTCGATTTGAAAACTTGTTCTGGTGAGAAACCGCGAAGAGGAAGGGGAAGAGTGGACCCAGGAGTTTTCCTTAGCAAACTGAGGACTCCCCATGGACGAATATACTGTTGTGCACGTTTGCACATTATGTGCACAGTAAAATACTTTGCTAGCCAAGCTCTCCAATGGCCAAGCCCCCAAAGGTAGTTCAGTTTTTGACTGTCCAGTGAGTGCTTTCTGTAGAGTTGGGAAGGCGCAGTGGTTTTTTCCCTGGTTCCTTCTCAGATTTTACACCAACCAACCTTGGCTTAGACAGGGACCTGGCCAGAGCGTGGGCACCGAGGTTGTAGCGCAGCCCCGGCGGGGGACCCGGCCTGGCACGTAACCCGCCCCTTGCCCCGCGCCTGCAATCAGTCGTGCCCGTCACGAAATTAGCAGAGGAACAAAAGCCAGTCTGTGGCTGCCATCCCCGAGCCACAATAGGGCTTTGTGCGGCCCCTGCCCCACAGAGCCCCATCCCCTGTCCTAGGCCTTATTCCCGACTGCGCCCCCCTTAGGGAGGTCCACCTCGCCGGGTGGAAGACGCGCTGGGGGCGCTGGGACCGAGGAGAGGGCGTCGGCTACCCCGGGCCTCGATCCGGGTGGACTCGGGTTACAAGCCCCCTCCCCACGCAGACGTTACTCCCGCCCCCGCCCAGGTGCGAAATCTCCTGCCCTCCGGCTGGGCGCGCTGCTTCAAAGGCGCTTTGAAGAATCTGAGTTCCGAGGACGACTTTAGTGGGTTGGGGGCTGTGGCGGAAGAGAGACCCGGGAGGGGGCTGGGGCGGACGGGGCGGGGGGGGGGTCGCCCCGGAGCTGCTCTGAGTGGGGAGGAGTGGACCCCCAGGATTCCGACCCCACCCTACCCCACGGGGCAGGCTTCTCGAGACCTCCCAGGGTCTGGCCCTCTCGCCTCCTGGTCTCCGCCTGTCCGGTGCCAGCTCCCGCCCGCCGCAGCCTCGCGGTCCTCCCCTCCCCAGCCCCTCGGCCTCTTTCATCTTCTCTAGACTCCGCTTGGGGTTTTGCTGGTTTCTGGGAGATAAAAACCGCTTCAAATAGCGGCGGCACGCTGCCAGGACAAACAGGGCCGGGCGGGCCATGTGCGCCTGGTTACCGGCCCCAGGCCGGGGCGCCGAGCTTCGGCAGGCTGAGCTCCCGGCACCTAAGCTCTGGCTACGACTCCCGCGGCGGCAGTGGGCGGGCGGGCTGCTTTTAGAAGTTTGAGGCAGAGGCCAGCGCGCTGCCAGGCGTTCCCGCCCAGGTCGCAGGGAGTGGCCCTGCAGAGACTGCCCGCTAAGTGCTGAGAGCCCACGGCGGCGCGGTGGGTCATAGTCGCTGAGTCGCCGGGGCCACCGCGCCCCCTGGTGAAGTTGTTGGAACTCGAGAGGCCTGCACTTAGGCCTCTCCAGAACCGGCAAATTTAGAAAACCATTCAACAAACGTTTAAATAAGCAGTATGGGGGCGGGGGGTCAGTATTTGTGCCAGGCAGGGTGGGAGCAAGGGGCGGGGCGGATACAGCCTTGTTCCTTCTCTCCAGTTGCTATTACGGGGTGAGAGCAAGCACCTAAACGATAATTATAACATAACCTGTTGGTAAAAATCGAGGCTTCATCGAAGAGTGGGTGGAAGTTGCAGGCGGGAGTGATTTCTTGGAGGTTATCTAGGGCTGGATGGTGTTAATAATGGAAATACAAAAACAGACTTTGTCATTGGGTTCACGGCGCTGTCCACCAATCTGTCATTCGCTGACTCCATCTTCTTTAAACCTGCCTCTGCTCGGGGAGAGCTTCCTCAGCCAAATTCCCCAAACTATCCCCAGTTTATATTTTATACTCTTTAAGCTTTCTGCAACTTCTCAGGTGACAGTGAACTAATCTAGCGAATTAAACTAGGCTATGAAAAAGGGTTAGCTTAGAGCCTTGCTACTTAAAATGTGGTTTCTGCAATATCAATGCAGTGGTTCTTGGGAAATACAGTCTCTGAGCTCCATCCTAGAATCTGCATTTTTAGCAAGATTCCCAGGTGATTCTAACATCCCTTCACGCTTGATACTGGACTGGAGTAGATCTACCTACCTTCTCAGGCAAAGGGCTTTTCCCAGAGACTTTCTGGAACCCTTTGTTTTCTGACCTGGGAATAACTCTCTTGGGGGGAACAGTTCCGGTAAAAAGGAGAGGGTCAGACTCAGAATCCAAGAATGCTAGAACTAGAATGTCCACTAGAATCTTCAAGGATACTGGCCGCTCTTGCAAGTGGGGACTGCCTTATGCTGCTTCCAATTTCTTATTAACATTTCTTAAATGAACAGACTTGGCGCTTGTGGCTCAAGCAGCTAAGGCGCCAGCCACATACACCTGAGCTGGCAGGTTGGAATCCAGCCCGCCTGCCAAACAACAATGACGGCTGCAACCAAAAAATAGCCGGGTGTTGTGGCAGGCGCCTGTATTCCCAGCTACTTGGGAGGCGAGGCAGGAGAATCGCTTGAGCTCAGGAGTTGGAGGTTGCTGTGAGCTGTGATGTCACAGCACTCTACCCAGGGTGACAGCTTGAGGCTCTATCTCAAAAATAAATAAATAAGTAAATGGAAAATCTGTAATCTCAACACTTTGGGAGGCCCAAGTGGGAGGATCTCTTGAGGCTAGGAGTTTGAGGTCAACATAGGTGACACTGTCTCCACAAAAAATAAAAAAAATTAAGTAGTGCATGTGGCTCAGGCCAGTAGATTGCTTGAGTTTAGGAGTTCAAGACTAGCTGAGCAAAGGGAGAGATCCTGTCTCTAAAAATACCCAGGCGTTGTGGCTGGTGCCTGTATTCCCAGCTACTAGGGACACTGAGGCAAAAGGTTTGCTTCAGCTCAAGAGTTTGAAGTTACTGTGAGCTATAATGATGCCTCAAGGCATGCTACTAAGGGCCACAGAATGACTCTGTTTAAAAAAATTTTGTTTTTTTAAGTAAGCCTGGCATGGTAATATGTACCTGTAGTCCTAGCTACTTGGGAGGATCACTTAAGCCCAGGAGTTTGAGGCTGCAACAGAGCTGACAGAGCTAGACTCTTTCTCTTAAAACAAGAAAAAAATTGTTAAATGAATGAAACAGGCATTCTCAAACTATGGCCCACGGGCCACATCAGGCCCGGCAGGTATATTTGCTGCTGCTGCCCGTCCTGCTTAGCAGCTGACTCGTCCTGGGCCCACAGTCCGGCCCTCCAACAGTTTGAGGGACAATGGACTGGCTCCCTGTTTAAAAAGTTTGAGGACCCCTGGAATGAAACAATGACTGAGGTCACCTAGCTGATAGCAGAGTTATGGCTAACAACCCTTGACACATATGTAGCACTTAAAAATTTATTAAGTAGCTTTATTTCCATGATTTTTATATGAAAAATATAA